CGAGCTTGTTTAGCACCGCGATTTAGGCCTAAGAAAAAATTTCAAAATGAATTTCTCGGGTTTTTACTTTAAAACATACTTGAGGCGATAAACGAATCTTGTGTGACTCAGATCTGTGGACTCAAATAAATGACCAAGTTAAATTACTTAGTGCGTAGAAGTATTTAGGAATATCCGATAACGGTTGTAGCAAATAAATAGCGAACGGCTTGTTTCATTGATTAAGTATGAAAAATAATTTTTTTAAACAAAATATGATATGACCGCTATATAGTACTTAAATAAAAATTCGGAGCATGATTTTTTGTTGCATTTAAAATATCGAGTAACTAACTTTAGTGCTTTAGCCGTGTTTAAAAATATAATAGTCGGCTTGTTAAATGAATATTTGAGCGCTGAAATAATAACGAGAGTGTCGCTGGCCACTCGCCTCACCTACCCCGCCGGTACGACGCGCGTGTTGATGGATGAGTTGGTCGGGCTGCTGCTGCTGTGTACTGCTTTGCTTGTTTTTTCCTTTCTCACTGCCAGTTTCGTCACTTCACCCTGTGTCTCTTGACGTGCTCTCTGCTCTCTGTCTTGCTTGTCTCTGCTGCCGCGGTCTTATCCCTGCATACATCTGCTGTCTGCTCTGTGTTCATGTTCAAGCGGAGAGGACCGAGCTCGCTAGTGCCACTGCAGTCTACGCCTGTGTGCACACTTTCTTCTCTCTCTGTCCTTTCGCTGCACGCACAGGGACGCCGGCGCCATCTGGATTGGATGGGGGTGCCTTGCTTGGAGCGGATGGAACGGAAGAGCCGAGAGCGGGGGCAAGAGTGGGTGTGTCCGCGTGCAGCCGCTCTGCCTTTTTTGAAAGGGCCGGGATGGGGTGGTGGTAGCTGGGGTCTGTGGTGTGGATGGCGGGGCTGCGACTGCGAGCGAGGCAGAGAAGCGAGCATATCTTGGGCCTTGTTTAGATTATAAGTTTTTTCACTCTCTTTCCATCACATTAAATCTTTGGACACATGTATGAAGTATTAAATGTAGATAAAAAATAACTAATTATACAGTTTGATTGTAAATTACGAGACAAATTTTTTGAGCCTAGTTAGGCCATGATTGGACAATAATTGTCAAATACAAACGAAAGTACTACAGTGCCAAATACTGATTCCTAACCCCAATCTAAACAAGACCTTGGATTGGGGATGTGGGGAAAGTTGCCAGGATGGACGTCCCGCTGATTGGATGGCTTCCCGTGGCTTCATAACCTCGAGATATACGATCCTCCTTGTTTCTTTGAATTAGGGGGTGTTTGGTTCTTTAGTCGCTCCTAAAATTTATGTCACATCAAATGTTTAGAGGCTAATAAGGAGCATTAAATATAAATTAATTACAAAACAAATTACATAGACGGAGGCTAATTTTCGAGACGAATTTTTTAAGCCTAATTAATTTATCATTAGCATATATTTACTGTAGCACCATGTTGTCAAATAATGGACTAATTAGGCTTAAAAGATTCATCTCGCAAATTAGTCGCAAGTTGTGCAATTAGTTTCGTAATTAGCCTATATTTAATACTTCATGCATGTGTCCAAATATTCGATGTGACAGAAATTTTAGGAGGAGGGGAAGAAACCAAACAGACCCTTAGACGCTGGACCTCGAGAAACTGTAGACACAGACAACTGATGGTAACGTCATAATACTCCATGCTATTAGTGCTTAAACACATACTCCGTATGGAATACACCGATCAACATGTTTTTATAGGATTACAACATCAAACACGCATCCTTCTCGGCCACCAAAAATCAAGGTCAAGCATTTAATACCGAAAGCAATACACTACTAAGGCTTTTTTTTTTATGATTCTGCCGGCAGCTTATATGCAAGAGCTGTACCAAACAATAGAGAAGTCAAAAGCGACTCCTTTTCGAATGCTCCAGAGAGAAATCGTGCCAAACAGACCAAAAAAGGTATGTCGTACAAAAAAAATTATATACAATTTGGTAAAACTATTTGTGTAGACAATTATCAGGCTGGTTTAGGTGCTAGTTTTTCTAGCGGCAGCGGCTGCATTTTGTCACCGGTGATCACTGTAGCTGTCTCACAGGTGTAATGTTGCACGTCACTGTAGAAGAAAGGGCAGCCGAACATGTATTATAAATTTTGCAACATAATTCGACGTACATGCATCAAATAATATATGATAAGTATTACATTCAAATATTAAGTTGGAAACTTCCACAAATTACAATGTAAATAGTTCAAACATCGTATTGATAATTCAAAATATAGACATAATAGAGACTTGTAATACTAAAAGACCTAGATGGCTAAACTGGGTGAATAGTCTATAAAAAAAAATTCTACGGAGTCACAATACCAAAGCAAAGGTTGATTAGTAGTTTAGTACAATAAGAAACCCTACTAGCAACTACTTTGGACTAGCTCTAATGCACCCAATGTAAGCCTCTACACAATTCTAATAGCTTGGTTTCTAGTCTAAAGCACAACACTAAACAAGCTACTACCAATAAGAACTACACTAGAGACTAGAGAGCTACTAAACAAAGCACTAACACTAGTTACTACATACTACATCTACTACTTTAGACTATCTCCAACAACGGCACCTAAAATATAAGACTCATTCCATGTTTGGGTAGCGCTACAGGTAAAGGGTTCAATACCTATTGTTAGTCTTCTCCAACAAGAAGACCCAAAAAAGAACGCTTTCTGCAAATGGGTCTTCAGGAGAGATGATACTCAGATTTAGGTGATGCCTCTCCTGGCACTCAAAATGGGTCTCCTATATAAGTACTTTGTTGGAGGCTGATACAACACTGTTGGAGACTTATTTTGGGTTTGGGTGCCCTTATGGGTCATCTGTTGGAGATAGTAAGCTACTCTAGCTAGCAAGGCAAACAACTACCACTCACAAAGCAACATATGAATGTAAATACAAGTAAGAGTAGAAGACAAACCAACGAGTATGAGTGATAGACACAAGATTTATCCCCACGGTTCGGTTTACTTGCTGGCAACCTACATCCTCGCTGTGGTGAGCCCCCAAGTGATGATTCAAGCGCTAACTACCAAGACAAGCTAAACCCACAACTTGGGTGCCTCAATAATGAATCAAATGGTGCACTTCAACTAGCCACGAGCATTTCACTAGAGTATCTCTTTGCACTCCACGAGATGGGATCAAAACCTCTCACAAAGAACACCAGTCGGACACGAAGGACAATCACCAATCTTCCTCAATGACCCCAAGCTGCTCCAAGCCGTCTAGATGGCAACAACCACAAAAGAGTAATAAGAAAATTGTAGCCCAAAAGATCAACTAGTGCCACTAGATGCAACACTCAATGCAAACGCGCAAGATTGCTCCCAAACTCAATTTGGATGAAGCACGAGGCAAAGATATGAGTGGGAGGTGTTCTTGGATGCTCACAAGGGTGTTTGTTTACTAGAATGGCAAGAGAGATGGCCAAGACCCATCCAACTTGTATTATAACACCCCAAGCCAAGATAGCCATTGGGCTGCTCACTTCACTAAAATCAGGGGCATGGGGTCCTATGATGGTCATCGGATTAACCCATCGGAGTAGATGCTACGGCTAACCCTTAGCCATAGTGCATGCTACGATGCTAAGGCTACTAATCCGATGCCCATTACGATGCTCCCTGCACGATCTCTATCAGATACTAGTCGTTGGATGGACCAACGGCTAGTGGAGCATGCATATAGTCTATGATGGCCCCATCAGACTAATACCCCTCTCAATTTGATGCTACATAGAAATTACCCAGAGAGGTCTTCTACCATCCGATTGATCCAGCGCTCCGCATGGGCACAATTTGATGCACCTGTTTGAACTTCCTACGCAACATGATGCACAATTCGACTAATATCCCTCTCAATTTGATGCACAATTTTGGGCCCATCTGTACATCTTTCCTTTTTCTTCTTTTCTCTTCTCAAACACCTATTCTTCCCACGGCAACGCACGGAGGGTCTACTAGTCATTTGTATAGACACTTAGTTGGGCTGGAGGATATGTTAGGCCATGCCCCCTACACTCCTGTAGTAGGGATGTCAATGGATACCCGTGACACAAAATTCAATAAATTTTACCCTATTAGTATATGAGTGTGGGCTAATTTACTTACACATAGATACGTAAATACACAAAAAAAAATTCTTGCCCACTTGGCTTCGTGGGTATGAGTCTGCACAACTAAATTCATGGGTATCATGCAACTATAATTCAAAACCATCCCTCAACCTAATACATTTCAAAAACATGGTCCAACTACACCTAGCGTCATATAAGGAGCCACATATATATTATTTTTCATTCAGGTATATTTGTTACATATTTGAAGTTCTATTATTTTCTCACATAGTCATAATTCAAATATTAATCGCATGCGTTATATTTCTTTTCGAGTGTGGATAACTCGAGGAACCCACTATCCACTTGAGTATGGATATAGGCATAAAATTGCACCAATACCCTACGTATGAGCTCTTTCTTAATGCTTATAAATTTAAAAAAACTGATTGTACATAGCTGAATGATAGCCAACCGATTCCTTGATCCGGCATAGGCCTTTTCTGAAGCGTTTATTACATGAAGAATTTGGTGCTTACGGGAAATGTTCGTGATACACGAGGGGCGGAGCGGGTCCCGGTCCTGGTCGCCCCCTATGCGAATATGCGAACCGGACACTCTGTTGGTCCCCGGTCCCCGGTCCCCAGCGCCTACCTGCTGCAGTCCTCCTTCCCCTCCGCCTCCGTCCCACACCACGAAGACCTGTGTCGTTCGCGTCGTCAACGAAGGTTACGTAATCTGCATGAAATACGTGTTTGTGCCACGTTCACGTAAACTATCATCACCGTATTCATCCCGCCGCTGTGTGTGTTGTATCATCTCAGCCAAAAATAAAAATAAAAAAATCCCCGAACCCGAGGAAAAGGCCCGCTAAACCCTCGCCGCCGCACCATGGCCGACGAGCTCGACGAACTGATCGGCTTCCTCTCCGACCGCAACCCCCAGGTGCGGGGCGCGGCGGTGGACATCGTGCGCGGGCTGACGGGCGGGGAGGACGGCCTCCGGGCACTCACGGCGCGCGCCGACCACGCCCTGCCGGCGCTGCTCCGCCTGCTGGCCTCCGCGGGCGGCAGCGGCGCGGGCGAGGCCGCGGCGGACTCGCTCGTCAACCTCAGCCATGGACGTCGTGGCCAAGCGAGGCGGGGAGCAGCCGGCCCTCGCGCGCAGCCTCGTCATGCTGCTCGTCAACCTCACCCACGTCGAGTCTGGCGTCGCCGCGCTTCTCCAGGTCCGTTGAGCCATTCTATTTCTACTGAAGGAGGAACTACTTAGTTTATCTAATACTCCGTATAAATGGTGCTCCAAATGAGCAACTTTTGCCTCCCTAACCTTCTCCTTGACATGAAAGTTCCAATGATACTTGGTAACTTATGTTACTGGCTAGATAGAATAGAGATTCTTCGATAATCGATATAGGAGGTCATCTCAATATTTCCATTCCTCAATTGTACCGCGGAGCCAGAAGAAACAGCTTCTGAAGTCATTTTCCATATGCGAATGGTTTGGTTATGTCCTGAGACGAGCTAACGAGGAGAAGATGTGCCTTTCACTGATAATCACAGATAAGGAGCGAGAATGGAACACTGAACAAAGAAAGCTGCCTTATCCCCGCTATAAATCTTAATCATGTGATCTAAATCATCCATTGCCAAAAATAGCACAACAACAACAACAACAAAGCCTTTTAGTCGCAAGCAAGTTGGGGTAGGCTAGAGTTGAAACTCAATATGAGCCCCAAGTCACGGTTCAGGCATGTCAATAGCGGTTTTCCAAGCACTCCTATCCAAATAAAGATCTCTAGGTATATCCGAACCTTTCAAATCTCTTTTTATTGTCTTCTCCCATGTCAGCTTCGGTCTTCCTCTACCTCTCCTCACATTGATATCTTGACTTAGGACTCCACAATGCACTGGTGCCTCTGAAGGTCTCCTTTGTACATGGCCAAACCACCTCAACCGATGTTGGACAAGCTTTTCATCAATTGGTGCTACCCCTATACGATCACGTATATCATCGTTCCCGAACTCGGTCCATCCTTGTGTGACCACAAATCTAGCGCAACATACACATTTCCGCGACACTCGGTTGTTGGACATGTCATCTTTTTGTAGGCCAACATTCTGTTCTATATTGTAAGACATAATTTGCTGCTGATCTCTCTCTCTCTTGCTGCAGCAGAGTTGGTATTTGGTTAGCTCGGCTGTCCAGTCTCTACTGCTGTAGCAGTATGGCAATAGGCCATCTCTAGTACATTAGTTAGTAGCTATTACATCAACCATGTCTTGGTAGTGGTCTGATCTAAGCTTTGTACTGCTAGTACTAGGAGTAGTTGGTATACCTTAGGAGTAGGTAGTTGGTGTACTCACCAACAACTATGTACCTGGTAAAGGTACGAGCACTTGTATATATGTCACACCTAAGGCAATGTAAAAGAGTAGTTCAGTTTGCCACATCCAGAAGCAGAGCTTTTGGCCAGCGCTAGGCTTGTGCTGTGTGTGTGAGCTGTTCTCAATATCTTCTTCTACCTCTAGCCATAGTGAGTGAGTGTGCTGGTAAGCTTACTGCTTACCTGTGCAGGGCAGCCGAGGGACCAACAAGTGGTATCAGAGCCGTACAAGCGCCGTTGCCGAACTAACCGCTGGCGATGACGGACGGTTCGGAGATGGGCGACAGCAGCGGCGCTGCTGTGGCTGCCCAGCCACGACAGGAGGTCGTCGTGCGCACGGTGCGGGAGGTCAGCGGCACCAGTTGGCCAACATTGACTCGCACCAACTATGGCGAGTGGACGGCGACCATGAAGGTCAAGCTCAGAGCCCGACGGCTCTGAAATGCCATTGACAAGGGCACCAACAACGAAGAAGACGACATGTCAGCGTTGGAGGCTATCCTCGCTGCTGTGCCAACGGAGTACAGGGAGCCGTTGGGGGCGAAGAACTCTGCTAAGGAGGCGTGGGAGGCCATTGCAGCAATGCGCGTCGGCTCCGACCGTGCAAAGAAGGTGACGGCCCAGCTGCTGAAGCAGGAGTACGCCAACCTCAAGTTCAAGGATGGTGAGTCGGTGGAGGACTTCTCCCTCCGCCTGCAGTCGCTCATCAGCAAGCGGAGGAGCCACGGCGTCACCATCGACGAAGAAGAGGCGGTCTCCAAGTACCTCTACTCCGTGCCGATGAAGTACATCCAGTTCGCACTCTCCATTGAGACGATGCTGGACTTGTCCACCCTCACCATTGAGGATGTGACAGGCTATCTGCGGACGGTGGACGAGCGCATGGAGTGGGCCACAGCAACGACAGACAGCGGCAAGCTGCTCCTAACAGAGGAGGAGTGGGCTGCCCGGATGAAGGAGAAGAAGTCCGGGGAAGCCTCCTTCAGCCGCGGTGGCGATGGCAAGCGCAGCGGCAAGGCTTCTTCGGAGAAGAAGAAGAAGAAGAAGAAGAAGAAGAAGGTCGACCCCAACACCTGCCGGTGCTGCGGGAAGACGGGTCATTGGGCAAAGGAGTGACCAAATCGCAAGCAGGAGAAGAAGGTTGAGGCTCATTTAGCGCAGGCTGATGAGGATAATGAGGCCACTCTCCTGATGGTGATGTTCTGTGCACTGCACGACGTTGAGGCCAAGGAGAAAGGAGAGGTGATGGCGGTGGAAGGGCACGGTAAGGCTCTGAAGGCTGTCAACCTAGACGAATCGTGCGCCCAAATCCACCTCAGACGTATGGGCGGCGAGCAGGAGCAGCGGTGGTACCTAGACTCCGGCGCCAGCAACCACATGACGGGCTCCAAGGAAGCCTTATGTGAGCTCGACGGCAACGTGACCGGCACGGTGAAATTCGGTGACGGCTCAAGGGTGGCGATCCGAGGGCGCGACACCATCATCTTCAGGTGCCAGAACGACGAGCACCGCGTGCTGACGAATGTATATTACATCCCGCAGTTGCGTTCAAGCATCATCAGCATTGGCCAGCTAGATGAGCGCGACAGCGAGGTACTGATCAAAGACGGCGTCCTCAGGATCAGGGACCGGAAGCAGCGGCTTCTTGCCAAGGTGAAGAGGTCTCGGAACCGGTTGTACCTGCTTGACTTGAAGGTGGAGCAGTCCATCTGCTTGGCTGCACGGCACACGGAGGAGCCGTGGCTGTGACATGCCCGGTATGGCCATCTTAGCTTCGACTCTCTTGGTCGGCTGGAGAAGATGGTGACTGAGCTGCCTCATATCGAGCACGCAGGCGAGCTGTGTGACAGCTGCCTGGTCGGGAAGTAAAGAAGGCTGCTATTCTCGAAGACGGCGAAATACCGCGCGGCAGAGGCCCTCGAGCTGGTCCATGGTGACCTCTGCGGGCCGATCACGCCGGCGACGCACGACGGGCGCAAGTACTTCATCTTGCTGGTGGATGACTGCAGCCGGTTCATGTGGTCGCAGCCACCAAGCAAGATCGAGGCGTGAAGCGGTCAAGAAGTTCAAAAGCGGAGGCGGAGAGTGGCAAGAAGCTACGCAGTTTGTGAATGGATCGATCGCGGCGAATTCACTTGAGTGGAGTTCGCCTGCAGATCGCTGTGGATCGTAGGCAGTCGCGACACCACACCGCTACTGCGTACTCGCCACAAAGATAATGGCGTGGTGGAGCGGCGGAACCGGACGGTGGCCGGCATGGCTCGATCCATGATGAAGGCCAAAAGCATGCTGGCAAAGTTCTGGGGAGAGGCGGTGACCACAACGGTATTCATCCTCAACCGCGCGTCCACCAAGGCCCTGAAGGGCAAGACGCCGTTCGAGGCTTGGCATGGACGCAAGCCGAATGTGTCCTTCCTCAGGATATTTGGCTGCGTCGGCCATGTGAAGAACACCAAGCCTCACCTCGGCAAGCTGGAAGACAGGAGTACGCCGATGGTGCTCCTGAGCTACGAGGAGGGCACCACGGCCTATCGGCTCTATGATCCCAAGAGAGGCAAGGTGGTGATCTCTAGGGATGTGGTGTTCGATGAGATGGTGGCCTGGGACTGGGAGGGTCCGGGCACGGGGGAAGCTGGCAGCTTGAGCAGCATCTTCATCGTCGAACACTTAGTCATCCACGGTGGTGGAGACGCTGGAGAAGAGGTGCCGACCACCCCAGGAGTGGTGCCGAGCGGTCCAGCAGCAATGCCGACCACTCCAGAGGGGGTGCCGAGCACTTCAGCAGCAGTGCCGAGGGTCCAGCAGTGGAGCCGACCACTCCAGCAGTGGTGCCGAGCGGTCCAGCAGCGATGCCGACCACTCCGGCAGAACAGGGAGGCCATGGACCACCGATCGAGTTCACCTCTCCACCCACCGACATTGACGAGTACGTGGACGCTTTCCACGACGGCGAGGAGGTCCGGTTCAGGCGGGTGGACAACATCGTCGGCGAAGGGGGAGCTCCTGGGTTGGCCAGTCGTTTTCTCGACAACCCAGAGCTGCTCCTTGTTAGTGCAGAGGAGCCACCGACGTTTGCAGTGGCTGAACGCGACGACAATTGGTGCCGGACGATGTTGGAAGAGATGAAGGCCATCGAGGACAATGGGACATGGGAGCTAGTGGATCCACCGGTGGGCTACAGGCCGATCGAGTTGAAGTGGGTCTACAAGGTGAAGCGGGACGAGTGCGGCGCCATTGTCAAGTACAAGGCTCGGCTCGTCACCCGTGGCTTCGTGCAGCGTGAGGGCATCGACTTCGAGGAAGTCTTTGTTTCGGTGGCGCGAATGGAGTCTGTTCGCTTGCTGTTGGCCATGGCAGCAGCGAAGGATTGACGCGTCCACCACTTCGACGTCAAGTCTGCGTTCCTCAATGGCGAGCTCGCAGAGACGGTCTTCGTCAAGTAAGCTCCGGGCTTCGCCGTCATGGGCGCTGAGCACAAGGTGCTCAAGCTGCGCAAGGCACTCTACGGGCTGCGGCAAGCCCCTCGAGCGTGGAACGCCAAGCTCGACGCCACATTGGGCGAGCTTGGGTTCACTCGCTGCGCCACAGAGCACGCGCTGTACACGCAGCGATGGGGGAAGAAGGAGCTCGTCGTCGGCGTGTATGTGGACGACTTGATCGTCACTGGAGCGCGGGAGGAGGACATCGACGGCTTCAAGCGCAAGATGGCTGCTCGTTTCAAAATGAGCGATCTCGGCGCGCTCTCCTACTACCTCGGCATTGAGGTGAGGCAGGGGAAGGAGCACATCTCCCTGGGCCAGCGCGCCTATGCGGAGAAGCTGCTGGAGCACAGCGGCATGGCGTAGTGCAAGCCGTGCGCAACTCCAATGGAGGAGCGGCTGAAGCTGTCCAAGCATAGCATGGCGGCGAAGGTTGACGCAACGCACTACCGGAGCATCGTCGGAGGGCTGCGCTACCTCACACATACTTGGCCGGACATCACGTTCGCGGTCGGGTATGTCAGTCGCTTCATGGAGGACCCGCACGAGGATCAATGGACGGCGGTGAAGAGGCTGCTGCGCTACGTCAAGGGGATGCTCGATCAAGCGATCATCTTCCCCAAGAGTGGCGGCAAGGGTGGGCTGCGGCTCACGGTCTTCAGTGAGGCACCCCCAAGGCAAAGGACGGTGAGCCGGAGCTCACTGTTTTCAGCGACGCAGACATGGCGAACGACATCGACGGGCGACGGAGCACCTCCGGCGTGCTCGTCTTCCTTGGAGCGGCCCCCATTGCTTGGTAGTCGTTGAAGCAAAAGATCGTGGCGCTGTCGACGTGCGAGGTGGAGTACGTCGCAGCAGCCACGTCGGCGTGCCAGGCTGTCTGGCTGCGCCGGCTGCTGGGCGAGCTGACTGGTGAGGAAGCTCACCCGCCAGCTCTGATGGTGGACAACCAGCCCGCCATCACCCTCGCCAAGAACCCTGTCCTCCACGACCGGAGCAAGCACATTGTCATCAAGTTCCACTTCCTCCGGGACTGCATCGATGGATGGCAGATCGTCATCGAGTTCGTCGAGACCGGTAGACAGCTCGCTGACATCCTCACCAAGTCACTCGGGCGCCTGCGGTTCATGGAGCTGAGGAAGATGATTGGCATGGATGAGGTCAAGGCATCGGGTTAGCAGCAGGATTAGGAAAAGAATTGTAAGACATAATCTGCTGCTGATCTCTCTCTCTTGCTGCAGCAGAGTTGGCATTTGGTCAGCTCAGTCTCTACTGCTGTAGCAGTATGGCAATAGGCCACCTCTAGTACATTAGTTGGTAGCTATTACATCAGTCATGTCTTGGTAGTGGGCTGATCTAAGCTTTGTACTGCTAGTACTAGGAGTAGTTGGTGTACCTTAGGAGTAGGTAGTTGGTGTACTCACCAACAACTATGTGCCTGGTAGAGGTACTAGCACTTGTATATATATCACACCTAAGGCAATGCAAAAGAGTAGTTCAGTTTGCCACATCCAGAAGCAGAGCTTTCGGCCAGCGCTGGGCTTGTGCTGTGTGTGAGAGAGCTGTTCTCAATATCTTCTTCTACCTCTAGCCATAGTGAGTGAGTGTGCTGGTAAGCTTACTGCTTACCTGTGCAGGGCAGCCGAGGGACCAACACATACAACATAGCAGGTCTAATCGCCGTTTTTATAAAACTTGCCTTTAATCTTTTGTGGTACCCTCTTGTCATAGAGAATGCCAGATTCTTGGCGCCACTTCATCCACCCTGCTTTGATTCTATGGCAAATGTCCGCATCAATATCTCCATCCTTCTGCAGCATCGATCCTAGATAACGGAAGGTATCTTTCTTAGGCATCACTTGACCAAAAATAGCACACATTCTCGAAAATTTCAAATCATCAAGATCATCATATTATAAGATAAAAAAGGCGTATTTGAATACTTCGAATGTCATCTTAAAAAGAAAGCTTTTTTAAGTTTAAGCTCCTAACAGTAATATTCATAGTCCACAAGTGTAGGCCATCTTAAAATCAGGGGTGGGCCCAATTGCCATTTCCCAAATAACCACAATACCACCTGAGGATATAGGAGCAGAAATTGTGACAATATCAACACCATCCTTCGAATGCCAACAGGTGATTCCTTTTATTATGCATCCCTGGGAGCTGCAACACATGAGAACACATCAGAGAATGCATAAACAGTAAGTCAAATGATTATGCATCCCTGGGAGATGCAGCAGTTGTCAAAAAAACAGATCAAGTGAGCTCACCTGCAATAATTGGCAGAGCAATCAGGAAATAGGTAGCAAAAACAAAATCAGTATCATGGACATCAAGCCTGCACATGATACAACAACTGAATGCAATGTTGCCACTTTGATCCATTTATATGAAAGAGAAGCTAGCAATCATGAATTCCTTGGTAAACAAGTTGTAATATTTTTGGACAAGGGACCAAAAATACCTTACAGTAAATTCTTCTTTCGGCCTGAGTTTTCAGTTATACGTGCACCAAGCCAGTGGATAACCTGGAAAGCCATAGTTGTTCTTGATCAGTTTCTGAACAAGAGCATTTAATCAGCTCTCAGAGCAAGGTGAACTATCATGTGCAAGATTATGAAATGTCATGTGCAAGATTGGTGAACTATCATGTTTATAGATCAAAATAAATGCTTGCGGTAGAAACATAGTACAAGACTGAAATATTATCATAAACCACTGTCACTCAGCCTGTATATTATGTGGTATGGCGATGGGCTTTACTTCGAAGGAAGTACGGAGGAGATCGAGGAGCGTGAGAGCGTGCAAGGGTTCAGCGGGCAGGAGCCGTGATTGCGGTGGCAAGAGATGACGATGAACAGGGAGACACCGGGCGCCCAAGGGTGACTTGTAGTCACAATCCCAGGCTAATTGTTTCCTTAATGAAGTTGGACTCTTATAGTCCTTACAACTCGACCCTGATACTTGACTCTGGACGTTAACCAACTCGACTCTTGACGCTAACAGACTCCTGCTATGAATCTGGACCAAATCTTCTAAGACTCTAAACCCAAATCTGCTAGGACTCTAGATGAGCCTGAATACGACAGCCGATGGTGACCACGTTCCACCTCTCCCTGGTCTGGTTCAGGCCCTTCTGTTGTTGCGCCTTGCATAAGTCTTCCCCACCATAACATTATGCTACATGTAATGGGATTGAGATATATAATATGTTCCTAGCTCCTGTAAGCCAATGTGTGATGCCAATGTTCACACTACTTTACATCAATGAATTTGCTATTATAGCTGTAGATTAAGGACAAACATCATTTTCTTCTTTCAATATGAAGAAGCAAAACAGGGCACACATAAATAAGTGAATTAACCAATTGGCGTTCACACAAACACTGTTGGGTCAAGGGGCATTTTCACAAATAGCTTGTGTTCCAAATGTCCTGATTTTATTTTGGATGGTTGTCGAATCGAAGAAGGTGTGGAAAGAAGAGCCAACTCACCTGCTGCGGTGCCTGTTGCCTGACTACACCTGCATTGGTTGTGGTTTGGCGTCTAAGATAGTGTCAAAGGCATCGGCTTGATTCAAATCAAAGGATGCCAATGCAGTGGCACTGTGGACGGGACGGGCGTCAAGTACTTGGAGACAGGTATGCCGGGCCCAGCAGCGCCAGCAGAGACGAGACGAGAGCACATGTTCCTACGCTCTGTGATTGCGGCGTACAAGCAGCCAGCGCAGACAGGGCGACGCCAGTCGAGTTCACAGGTGCTGAGCGAGGTCGTGGACGGTAGCCTCGCCTTGGCAGATGCAGACGGATGATGCGGTTGGCGAGCGCCCACTCCACAACGCAGATGTGCTGCCGTCCCCGGAGCTATTGGGGGGACCGTGAACTCCGAGACCAAGAGTGGAGAAAGGAAGAGAAGAAATGGGGGAGCAGAGAGAAATGCAAGTCCCACCTGTCAGTGCCGCTTTTTATTTGACGGCGTAGTGGGTGGGGTGGGGTGGAGGCAGCGGCTTCACCAAGTTTTAGTAGTATATAGAGATTCTTACTGGTGATCATTCATGGAAAGACTTATGTGACTCCATTTTGAAAGGCTGGGGATGAGAAGGTGCAAGGCTTGTATGTTGCAAAGCTCGTGCGATCATTCTGTAGGTCATCCAGTGATTCTGAAGGTTAGTTTCTTCTGTTCAATATAGCTTGTACATTCAGATGAGAAACTGTGATTAATTCCTCTATTTTATTCATTAATTTTATTATATTTTTTATTTATTATATTTAGGAAGATTCTGCTCCATGTTGGACCTGTTCCTTTTCTTTAACTTTTCCTTTTTTTGCTGTCTGATTATATTATACTATGATCTTATCTTGCAATGTTTTCACATGGCTTGAAGCATCTTTTTGTCCACATGAAACTTCTTTTCTAGTTCACCTGTTTTTTTTTGGCTAATTGATCCACCTCTCATCTCTGTGATCCCTTTCATAGCCTCTTAACCACTTTCGTGGTTGTTTGTCTTGAGTCATTGCTGAAATATTCAGTTGACATGTAAACAATCTTTTTTCTTTTACAAAAACGCAGAGCAAGACATTTTTTAATACGTTGCCTCCATACTTGTCAATATATCTAAGGTTGAAGCTGGAAGGAGAATATTGATGGAGCCTAAGAGAGGTCTTCTGAAGCAGATTATTCGACAATTTGATTCAACAAATCAACTTAGAAAGAAAGGGGTACGTGCAGCCAAATCTTTATGATGGCATAAATGTGACATCTACACTGAAGATGCTTCTCCTGGTTTCCCTACTTTTGACATAGTTTGACCAGCTCTTTATCAGTTACTACTTGCTAATCATTGTCGCATACCATTAACTGTTTTATTTTAGTGAGTTGCTGTGAAGGGTTCTACTGCAGACATACATAGGGAAATGTTAACAGTTCAGTTTGCTGACAATTCAATTTGTAGGAATGCTGCATTATTTCATAATTCCTTGCTGTGTTATTTGCATTCATGTACCGATTCTAGATTTGCCTGCAATTAAAACTAGTTGCTGTCCTGCACCCAGTTTCTGTTGCAGTGCCATAATTTTCCTTTTTTATGTACATTGGCATGTTATGAATCTGGTATAAGTTATTATCAAATTGTTGTATTCCCGCTAATTTTTGTACTTTTATATTCCTTGGTGAGCTTTTTGCAGGTTGCTGGCACAATCCGTAACTGTTCCTTTGAGGCTGATACTCAGCTTCAGAGTTTGCTTTCTTTAGCAGAATATCTTTGGCCAGCTCTACTTTTGCCTGTAGCTGGAAAGAAGGTACTGCACATCATTAACATTTCTATTACTGTATCCTTTATTGGCATAAATACCAGACTTGCCAGTTTTCCTGTTTTCTTTTTGGGGTAATTATCTGTTGGGAAAACTGTTCCCAGCAAGGTAGGGACTCAGAAGAGCCTTTGCTCAACAACAACAACAACAACAACAACAAAGCCTTTAAGTCTCAAACAAGTTGGGGTAGGCTAGAGTTAAAACCCAGCAGAAGCAATCAAGGTTCAGGCACGTGAATAGCTGTTTTCCAGGCACTCCTATCTAATGCTAAGTCTTTATGTATATTCCATCCTTTCAAGTCTCCTTTTATTGTCTCTACCCAAGTCAACTTCGGTCTTCCTCTGCCTCTCTTCACGTTACTATCATGGCTTAGGATTCCACTACGCACCGGTGCCTCTGGAGGTCTCCGTTGGACATGTCCAAACCATCTCAACCGATGTTGGACAAATTTTTCTTCAATTGGTGCTACCCCTAATCTATCACGTATATCATCGTTCCGAACTCGATCCCTTCTTGTATGACCGCAAATCCAACGCAACATACGCATTTCCGCGACACTTATCTGTTGAACATGTCGTCTCTTTGTAGGCCAACATTCTGCACCATACAACATATGAAGATCCTTTGCTCAGGCGAAGGTAAACTCAGATGGTGGGTCCCAAGGTTCTATTAGGGTTTCATTCATTCATGAATCTCTCTCATTACATGGGGTTTGCTTCCCCCTTTTATAGGTCACTGTTCATAAGTGAATCATTTTACAACTTTACCCTACAGTTCAACGGGCATATTCTAGGGATATGCCCATACTAGGCCTAGTCTCCGGGGGCATCTTGGGTCTTCTCTTTCTGCACCGCCTTGCCTCGTGGGCCTCAGCAAATGAGCCTGCTGGAGGCCCATTTGTCCCTCATCACGTGCCCTCCTTCTGAGCCTCTCATGTGATGGGTGGAGGCCCAGCCTTCGCCGCCTCCTCCCATCTTCCAAGCCGATTCATTGTCTTCCCTTTGACGACCTTCGCTCTGCTTTCCCACGCCTGGTCTTGGGTTTAGCCACGGGTCTTCGTCGACAGGTCTCTGCCTTCCCGTGGCCGAAGGCTTCCGCGGAATCCCTGTCAAAAAGGTGAACTATGGTGATAGTTTGCAGTTTCATTCAAAGGCATAGCGATGGAGCTATAAAAAAGGGGAGTTTGTCTTAGCGACCAAGATGTCTGTGTCCCAACATTATCATTCCCTTCTGATCAGTAAACTGTGTTGTACTGGCCCAGTGGCCCTGATGATCACTGTCGTGTGGACTTTGTTAGCTGATTACACATCTTACAATTGAAACTAATAGTATGTTTTCTTGCTTTGAGCAATCTTGCGTTGCATTTTCTTAAATGTTTTTAAAGGCATATTCTTGTAGAAGACTGTATTTTTTTCCTCGGATGATGTAGGAGAGCTGTGTTTCATTTCATTAAGAAGAGAGAAAATAAGGAGAGGGCAGCGGCCATCTCCTGCAGATGTCTAGTTACAAACGCACAACTTACAATAGAGACTCAACATCGACCAAACAGACCTTGACCGGTGTCAAGGTTAAGTAACCTGATGAGTAGTTCATGGAGAGCTGGCGCACCAGCCAAACACCACAAACTACTCTCATTTGCCGCTGCCTGTAACACTACTGAAATACAGCACCCTCATACACACAAGCATTGCAAAGGTTCCCAATAAGACTGCCTAGGCTGTAGGGTTTAAGCTTTTATAACATACCTTCTTCTTGTTGAAGACTTAGCTGTACTTCTATATTTTCATGTAGAAATGCATTTGTTGCACATTCAATTCCTTAGTACACTTTGCAAAAGTATAGACATAGGGATCCGTAATAGCAAGGGTGAATCTGTTATTCTTCTGGTGCAACAGGCACATATATGGCATTTAGCATCCTAGAGTAATTTCCCAAAAATACTTTCCTTTTCTGTTGTTTGTGCTGAATGATGGATATTCATGTGTCGTACTACTAATATGGCTTTTGGCTGATGCTGCAGATATATAGTGAAGAAGACAGATCGAAAATGCCACTTGAGCTATCAAGTGCACTCTCCCATGAACGGGAAGCTGTTGAGGATTCTGAAATTCGGCAGCAGGTGTTGGAGGCTATTTATATGATCGTATTGCAGGTGATTTTTACATTTCTTGGCAGTGACTTTTGGTTCATTTTGCATGCCTATTTCCAATTATACAATATCCTATGCTGCCTTGTTTTAAGATATCTTAACTAAATAAACTCCATTCCTGCCCCCTGTAATCGTACAGCTATCATATATGCATCGTCCACCTCTGTACCTCAACCATTGTAGTCCTGTTGATCATGTTACACCGTTTATCATTTTTACTGTGAAACCTTAATAATAAATGGTTGGTTACCTCAGGAAAAACTTGGAAATTTCTCGAGTCAGTTAGTGTAGTACTCCCTCCATCCCAAATTGTAAGTCATTCCAAGAATCTTGGAGAGTCAAAGTTTTTCAAGTTTGACCAAATTTATATAACAAAATAATAATATTTATCATACCAAGTGAGTATCATTAGATTCTTTATTAGTTATATTTTTATATTATACCTATTTGATGTCATCAATCTTTGTGTTTCTCTTTATAATTTTAGTCAAACTTGAAAAAGTTTGACTCTCCAAGATTCTTGGAATGACTTACAATTTGGAATGGAGGGAGTACGTTTTAAAGACTTAACGACTTTGGTTGCGGACTTGATACTAATTTCGTTTTAAATGAGGTTTCCAGCACTGCATACTACACTTTTCTATGATAGGTTACTTGTTAAACTAGAAGGGTGAATCCATGCGCAGAGGTGCATGCCTGGTCCAAGGTTAAGTGCATATAAATATAAATAGACTTTCCACCCCATGCACTTGTGGTGGGGCTGCACTTGTGGCTGAGATCAGTAGATCAACATGATCCAGCTGTAATAAATTGAAATGATGTTTCAAGTGGCACATGGCCACACACACACCCCTGTTTGATAGCACCCTGCAATCTGGCATTATGGCATGGGTGATGTGTGTTGATGCCTCAGTATTCACAGCTCAAAACCAGATGTATAGTGTAGCAGAATATAAGCATATAACCAATAAAAGACACTTACCTGGGAGGCCAAGCTTGAAACAATTTTAGGCCAGGCACTCCTGACCAATTTATTAGCCATCAAATTTGTATGTTGAATTTAAAAAAGAGTAAAATGCACCATTAGTCCATCAACTTATGCATCTGTATCACTTTGGTCCATCAACTTTGAAAGTGTATTTTTGAGTCCAAAACCTTGTTAAGTGATGCATAAATAGATCGTACCCTTCGTTTCGCGAATAGATCTGACGTGGACAATACACCTAGCTGCTGAAGTGGACAGGAGGTCACGTCCGGACGCCGCTGCAGCGCGGGGTACGGGTCGCTGGGGCTGCGGCTAGCGGAACAGCAGCGCGGGTAGCGGCGAGGGTGCGCGGGGCAGGGCACGGGGAGCCGGCGACAATGGTGCGTGGGCAAGGCCTCATCCGCAGGTGGCGCAGACGGCAAGGTAGCCCAGGCAGCGGCGAGGTCGCCCCCGTCGGCAATTGTGTGTGGGGAGGTGCTGGGGAGGTGCCGGCGACTCGTGGGACCCAGGATCAGTCCAATAGCAATTGGATTATCATGGGGGTTTTGTCCAGCACCATCCAACGCTCTTGGATCAAGAGAAAATGGATGTCCATGTCCAACCAAATCCAAATCCAACAAAATCCAAGTGCAAAAGTCCAATTGGATCTTGGACTATGCCAAGTCCATTCCCAGGTATAGGTGTGCTGTACATCGGGGAAGCAGCAGACATAGCTCTCGGGCGAGCGTGCGCATAAGCTTCACGAGGAAGAGGCGGCGCTTACAGAGCTCTCGGGCAACGGCGGGAAGCAGCGAATGGCGGGGCACGGCGGGAGGCTCGCCGGAGCCGAAGGAGACAGCCGGGGTGGCGGCGATTTCGGCCTGATCCGGCCAGGAAACTGTGCAAGGAGGGGCGGAGGGGGAAGAGGAAGCTGCTGCGCAACTCAGTCTGCCTCGGGATGGCCGGGAACGGGCGCAGCGGTGGTGGATTTGCGTCGGTGGCGCGGCTCGGTCTGGAGCAGAGCATGCACGGGGAGAGAGCGAAGGGAGGGGCGCGACGTGGGGAACGGGAGCGCGGCGCGGCTCAACCGGTCTCGCCGGACCCCGTCAAAGAGGCGGTCATTGGCTGGCTCCGTGCCGTCGCGTCGATGTCGCGCCACACCCTCCCGCCGCGCCTTGGACTGCACAGCGCGTGCTCCTCCTTCCCGTTTTGTGCTCCACCACCGACATGCTTGATCCGCCGGCAAAATTCGCCGCCGTCTAGCCGCCCCCATCCGATTCCTTTCACAGTCATAGCCGCCTCGTCCTTGTTCTCCGTTTGGACCCAGTCGCGGCAGCCCTCTCGGCCGGAATATGCCACGCGCGTCATTTCCACCGCCGCGGTCCGCCATCACCGCCGTGAAGCTCCTTGCCGTGCCCAAGTCGTTCGGGTGCTTCCCTCTCCCTCTTCTTGCTTGATCTAGCTTCGCCTTGATGTCGTGGACCTTATCGGCTTCTCCGTTTTGTCAGTGGAGCACCGGAGCCACCGGTCCGCCATCACCGCGACGCCAGTTCCAGCCGCCGCGCTCATCTTCAACGCCAACAGCGGTGGCGGCGGCGCCTGCTCGCCCACGTGGCCGTGGTGGCGGAGGCTCGCACGCGCACCGGCGTGGCTGCTGCAGCGGCTCGCCTGCTCGTGCACCCGCGTGCTGCGGCGGCGGTGGGCCGCCCGCCTGCGCTCGCCTGCGAGCCAGAATGGGGTGAAGTGGCAGAGGGAGAGAAAGAGAGGGTGGTATTGGCTAAAAAATAAGGGCCACTCGGCCCTCACGTGACACAGACGCCACGCTGGCTGATGACATGGTCTGCCACGTCAGATCTATTCGCTAAACGAAGGAGTATGGATTATTTATGCACCGCTTAACAACGTTTTGACCAAAAAATGCACTGTCAAAGTTGATGGACCAAAGTGACACAGACGCACAAGTTGATGGACTAATGGTGCATTTTACTCTTTTAAAAATAAGGGCTAATATACTTTATAACAGCTATTTTGGCAAATGACTTAACTTTATATCATTTTTTACCTCACATCTCATGTAGTCATGCTATTCAGCCACTTGCTTGAATTCTTACTGGAAATTCACCTTTTTTCAGGATGATGGCCGAAGGTCCTTTTGGTCAGTTAATGGTCCACGAATTCTGCAGGTTGGTTATGAAGATGAAGAGGACCAAAAAGTGATGGAAGCATATGAACTCATTGGTTCCCTGGTATAACCGCTGAACTTTTTAGTATTTTCTCTGGTTATTAGTTCGACCATGTGTTACATATACTAGTTGAATGGTTTTTGCTTTATAGACATGCTGTTTCTGCATGTCCTAGGCATCTTATAATCTGTTCCAAGAGTTATTAACTATATGATGCAGGACTTTCTCGTGATGAGTTTACCCTTATGCTACTTTTAGTCTCTGTAGATACTCTAATCGTTAATGTTCCTTTTCTTGCCTCCCACCCCCCGGCATCTGCTCTACTTCTATATGTTTGATCCATGACATTGTTGCACTCTTGAAGTGTTGAGACAGTAGTTTGGGCAGACTACTGGAAAGCATGCTTTATGATGAGTCTATGTCAAATTCAAACATATCATGTTTTAACATTTCATCTCTTGACACAAATTGTGTTACCATAATGCTATCATAGTATGATATTCTTTATGGGGGCTGACTCAAACTTTATTTAACGTTGACAGCTTGTTGGGAAGGGTGAAGGTGAACAAGAACAAGAGCAAGGAGAGAAGCCTCAATGACCCCCACCCCTGATAAAAACGGTGTTGTATTTTTGTTTGTCTAGAAAACATCCCTCGTCATGTGCAATAGCAATACTATAATATCCCAACTTGTCAGCTGTTGCAACTGCAAAAGCTCTGCAGTGTTGCTTCTGTTATTGACGAATGTATCTGGAAACTTTGTATTATACTACGTACTGGCCGTCTTTTCCATGGTTTTGAACTCTGACGATTCTTTCACACCGTCACTTCAGAACATGGGTAGGCATTAACCCGGGCCTTGTTTAGACGATGGTTGGAAATCAGTATTTGATACTGTAGCACTTTCGTTTGTATTTGATAATTATTGTCCAATCATGGTCTAACTAGGGTTAAAAGATTCGTCTCATAATTTACAATCAAACTATGTAATTAGTTATTTTTTTATCTATATTTAATACTCTATGCATGTGTCTAAAGATTTGATGTGATGGAGAGAGAGTGAAAAACGAATCTAAACAAGGCCCCGGCTACCCTGTTGCTTTCGCTGAAACCTATTGGGAATTGATTGATGTTAAATGTAGGGACCCGACCATTATGTGGCTCTACCCCATGTGAGCTGAAGTCGCACCAAACAAACTCTGAGTGTTATGTTATCTACTTGCTCGATATAAAGTCTGTTTGCCGGTCAAAACTGGCTAATGATGAGATTTAACTATCAATTGAGATGCATTTTTAATTTGTGGAGAATGCTGACAAACTTTTATCATCATGATAACATAGGACGCAGGGTACATACGTGAACCTCCCGTGGCTAAGATAAACGACACTTCTTGTGGTCCACAAGTTCATACGTGTGCCTCGTGTCACCTCAAATATTGCACGAAAAACATCGTGGGCGACATCCATGAGTTTTTCTTTTAATATATATTTCTATCTCCTTTGTCTGCATTTTGTATTGCCGTTTTTTCTTTCATTTCTGGCAAGTAGTGTTCAACAATTGCCATTTTGCTTCTAGGGCCACACTTAAGTACGGGTAACCCTTCATTGATGCTGACGCCGCCACTGTTGCTATTTCTTTCCTCCTTTTTCTTTTTCAGGGAAATTTCATATGGTAGTTGGAAGAAAGACGGATTTTCCATTTTTTTCCTCTCTCTCTTAACATAGCATTCTTAGAACATAGGATAGGCCGATAGGGTCGCTGTTGTATGGAACTTCCTACATGAATGTTTTCTTTAGGAGATGGGATTTTTATTTCTATTTACTGCACTTTTCACGTAAAATAAATCGAATTCCTGTGAAATTCGATGCATTTCAAAGGGGCCAAATAAAAATCTAGAGGGTTTCAGTGTGGCCTTTGGATGCAACACGGGAAAAATTCAAGAATCTATAAAGATAGAGACACAATGGAATTTTGCATATCCTCATATTAGTTTTGGTCCAAAAGTTCCTATTGCTTCATGCATCTCATAGGAATCCAAATAAATTTCATACGGTGTTCCTCTGTTCCCACAAGGTATATAGGAAATTTTCCTATGGGTTTGGAATTTATTAAATTTCTGTGTTTTTTTTGTTCCAACAGGGCCTGAATCTTGCAAGAATTGAATTGACTCATGCGAAAATACTGTGAAATCCACTTTGCAAAAATCTCATGTTCCAAAGAAGGCCTGAAAACAGACAAAATTTCAAAACAAAGCATTACAACTTGAAGATGCAGATAATATCAATGCGGCTAAACCACCTACCAAATACAATACCTCCAAAATGCAGGTCAAGAGAAAAGGGGAACGAACTCAAATCCAAGCATTGCTAAGAGACCAAACAGCAGATGCCGCACTTCACGCAGTCAATATACTGTCTGGGTGCTAATCACACCCGTCAATCGTTGATCATTCGTTTATTTCAACCATGAGGCTCCAAATCGCCCATTTGAGATTGGCGCATAGCTCCGGACTCTGAAGTTTGGATGCATGCAGCGGAACCGGACAGACAAAACTCTACCAAACACAGGTTTTCAGTGTCTCATGTCATATCATGGTACCTTAACCCACCAGTTTTATTCAATTCGACAATTATTTTTGAGAGAACAGGATACACCCACATTTATTACTCGAACAAATGCTTGCATAGTTTTAACGATCTGGTTGAAGCATATTGAGGAGTGCCTGTTGGATACAGACTAATGGAGGCAACCAAACGGAGTCTTAAGTATGGATAACCCTTCATTAATGCTAATGCTACTGCTGTGTTATTTCTCCTCTGCTTTCCCTTTTTCAGGGAAATTTCGTATGGTTGTTGGGAGAAAGAGATCTACAGCTCCTTTGGAACAAGGGATTTTTTTTCTCTCTTTTAAACTAAGGATTCTCAAAACATAGGACAGAAAAAACGTAGGGTCACAGTTGTACGAAACTTGCGAGTCCAGATGAAGGCATTCTTTGGAGCGAGGGATTTTAATTTTCAATTTACTACGTCTTTCCTGTGAAAAAGGTACCGTTTTCTGTGAAATTCATGTTTGTTGCCTATAAATTCAAGAATTTTGCATAATTTTTAAAATTTTCGTGTTTCTATCTCTATAGATTCTTGATTTTTTCCCTTGTTGCATCCAAAGGCCATATTGAGGGTTTAACAGCTAGAAACATGGGAAGCACGAAAGAAACAAGGGAAAAATTCACAGAAACACGAATGAATTTTGCATAAGTTTTACCCTCGTGTTAGTTTTCTTCTAAAAATTCTCATTGACTTATTGCATCCCATAGGAATCCAAATGAATTTCATTGAGTTAAATCCTCGGTTCCAAAGAGGTTTATAAGAAATTTTCCTATGGGATTGGAATCTTCTTAAATTTCTGTTGTCTTTTATTTTGTTCCAACAGGTCCTGAATCTTGCTTGATATCCAAGTGAAAATTCCGTGAAATCCATTGCAAAAAAATCGTGTTCCAAAGAAGGCCTGAAACAGATAGAATTTCAAAACAAGCATTACAACTTGAAGATGCAGATAATCTCCACGCGACTAAACTACCAACCGAATGTAACACCTCCAAAATACAGGTCAATAGAAAAGAGATACCAAACTGAAGTCCAAGCCCTGCTAGGAGACCAAGCTGCAGATGCCGCACTTCCCGTGGTCGATATACTGTTTGAGTGCTAATCTCACAGTCCTCATTATCAGGACGACTAACTAACGGAGGTAAAGAGCATCACTGATGTGTTGTGTTGGCCGTCACCGCACCAGGCAGGGTATCAGTGCTCCGAGGCGTTACTGAACTTCCGCAGATCGCATCGACCAAGTCCTGCTCCAGCCGTCTCGACACTACTACCAAAGCTCCCCAACCTGAAGCTGATTTCGTCCAGACCCAGCCGATTCTTGGTGATGCTAGCTCTTGTTGCCACCTCCAAACTTCCAATAATATTGTCTATCTACCTCTTTTTTTTTCTTCTCAAAAACACACGGAAGAGTTGCATCTGTCTTCCATCAGTTGGTTCAGATGCTTCCACGCCTTGCCATGAAAAGATAGATAGATCATTATGTTTCTGCCAAATGCACCATAACACAGCAACGCACACAGTTCAAAAGTTTTTCTTTCTTGTTACTCACCAACCAGCGACCATTTAACTCAAAGTCAACACCCACTTTTACATTCATAAAAGTAGTGATAATACCCCAAAGGTTTTGCAAACAATAATGCAATCAAAGAAAAGATGTTCAACTGATTATTTTTCACAGCGAAAGAAACATGACTGATCGTCTATCTTCCTTCTTTTACTCAAGTTATCTCCAGTTAACAGGTCGATATGAACTCGGGGAGTGACAGCGAGCTTCCAAACAGGTGGAACATAAACTACTGGCTTAACCCCTGTAAAGGTGATCATTGAGTACAAGGACTGAACTCCTAACCGTGGGCTTTTATTGGTGAAGAATTTCAAGATGTTAGGCGTCAAGCAGTGGTCGGGTCTTTATTATGATAGATGCTCATCAAGTCATCAAGCATCATGGCTCCAAGAAGGTGGCTGTGCCCCTTGTGCTCACCGGTCACCGCTGGCGGAGAGTTGTGTGGAGGTCTTTGTAGCTTAGGTCGTTCACCTATTGTCGCTTTAGTTGTCACTTTGTTATTTCCATTTCTCTATACTTAGCTGCGCCTGGTCGCAGATTGTTTGTGAGATTCGTCTCGCAAGTGTTGTGTAGGTCGCGCCTTCCGCTCAACGATCTTGGCAAGTTCAGACTTACTAGGATCGTGGATCGTTGTTGGATGTAATTCTCTCTCCCTGTTAATAAAAGTGAAAGAAAAATAAGGATTGAAATGAATATATGCCATTAGAGTTATAAGCCCAAATGGTCTCATCACTATCATTAGTGAAAATTATGCTCTCAGCTATCTGGACAAGGCCCTCCCACATATTCATCAGACCCTGAGACACAACGCTACTAATTAAAAGTAAATATGAGCTGCTCTGCATCCCAACAATCTGCTATAGTACTAGTCTTTTCATTTACAATCACATATAGCGGCCAAAACTAGCAGCCTGTTCTGCTGGAGCGGCTGGCTGGCTGGTGCTGGCCAGCCCTCTCACGCGGGCACTGTTCACATAAACAGTGTCTTCCGGTCAGAATAATATTTTTCTTTCACACTAAACCAGCCAGCAGTAATAATCCACGATCCAGCCAGCGGTACCGAACAGGCTGTAGATAGCTAGAGTGTCCAAACCAGTTATCTTCCCAGAAGCGAAGAATATCTCCAATCTCTGTGCATGGTACAGTTGTTGAAAACACTAGTGGTGTGTTTTATTCGGTCTATTCCTTAAATTTAGTGAAATGACTCGATTCATCGTGATGGTACTAGTTATTAGCTTGTGAGGAATGAAGCGACGATGGATCAACTCATTTTATTCCACAAATCAAACAAAAAAACTAAAGAGTGAAATGATGATAACCACTTCGTTCCGCAAACCAAAGACCCCTAGATGTCGTCAGTGATGACAACAGAGCAGATTTTGAACAGTAAGAGCGGTTTGTGGAGCAGATTGATGAACTGTTCCATGGTACACGCCTACAGCTCAACTGTTGCATAAGACACCAGACTGTCTTGATCCCACTGTTCCAGATAGTACCTTGTGCTTCCCTTCACCTCTCATTTGGGGGCCGAAAACGCGGCTGGCCTCCTTAATTCAGAAAATCCGGTTCGTAAATTCACATATATTTGTTTATTTTCCACCGGGAAATCAGCGTCTCGCAAGATAAAGACCCTTATCATGCATCCCAAGTGTTACCTGGAGACGAAAAGCATCACTGTTGTTCAAATTTGTCTGGTGTCTCATTGTGCTTTTCTTTTTCCCTGACGAACAGCAATGGTTTCCTTGTCGCCTTCGCAGGTCACTGTCGGAGTCATGCTGCACAACAGTTTCAAATTTAGTTGTTAGCATGAGTGTCAGGGCGGCATCAAGCTCCTGTGTCTATGCGGATGGATGGTGTCAAGGCTGCAGCTACCGTCTCAATTTCAATTTTGGATCATAAAACGCTGCGAAAAGAAACATATGGCCATCGGTGCTCCAGCAGAGCAAACTTCACAGCCTCCTCATCTCCTCCCTGTTGCCGTTGCAGTTATTCCTTCATGCAGACAAATTGGCAATTAGGTTTGTCTGTTGAATTGAATTATTATGATATATAGGAGTAGTTTTCGTACATGAACAGTTGATGAAATTTATGTGTCCATACATTTTATCTTTATTTTATTTTGGTGATGCGTAGTGATGTCTATATAAGTGCGCCTATTCACACCATCTCCTTTGGCGACGCCATTTTCTTCATCCTTGTACTGGTGTGTGTTGGTTGCACCATGGAGATGGGCCGATCGGGAAATGGTGGCGGCAGGGTGGTCACCTTCGACGACGCCATCAGCGGGAGGCGCCGGAACGGCAGCAGCTCCTTGTCGTCGTACCTTGACATGGGCCGGGACGCCGACGGTGGCCGCGCGACGCCGCGGCCGTTGCCGGCGCATGCCATGGCGAGCCGTCGGCACACGTACGCCGACGGCGAGCTCGACGTGTTCGCCGCCGAGCGCTACTTCAGAGGCGCAATGGACGGCGACGGGGACCGCAAGGAAGGTTTCAGTGTCACCACCCCCGCGGTAGCGGTGCAGGTGCAGCAGGCCTTGGTGGAGACGGCCGCTGCGAGGCCGGCGGCGGATCCGGAGGCCGTGGTATTGGCTAAGCCGTCCTCGACGCGCGCGTCGACGGTGAGCTTCACCGCGAGCTCGGCGTCCAGCGCCAACAGCCAGACGGCGCTCTTCCGGGGCGGGCTCCATCGACGGCGGAGCTCCCGCGACAACAGGTGCTGCGTCCAGGTCGGTGTGCTCATGCGCACGTGCTCCGGGAAGCGGTCGGTGCGCGTGGACGACGGCTGCGCGGCCAAGGAAGCCCCCGACGCCGCCGAGCCGGCGGCGGCGACCGGGATGGACTGGTACAGAGAGCTGAGGATGCACAAGGCCGCCCTCGGGCTCTCCGGGGATGGCAATACCAATGGCCATGGCTTGGTGGCCGCCGGTCTCCCGCCAAGCTTGAATCTTGGGACGGCGAAAGTGGCAGCCATCGGGAGGCAGGTGACGACAGGAGAGGAGAAGGAGGCCGCTGAGCTCACCTTCTCAAGTTCTACGAGTAGGAGAAGCAACTTTACTCTTGTGGCTCCGGTCAGAGCCAACGTGCCGGCGAGCGGCGGCCGCGTCGGCGAGCCAGGTGGCGGAGCAGGTAAAGTTGGCCGTGGCGGTGGCGGTGGCGCGCACCATCTCCACGACAACGACGACGACGACGACGCCGGGAGCGAGTCGAGCTCCGACCTGTTCGAGATCAAGAGCCTGATGATCGGCGACTGCCCCCCACGAGCCGAGCGAGGCGAGCATCCAGTGGAGCGTGGTGACCGCGGACGCATCGGAGCGCGGCGACCGCGTCCCCGCCAGATGGGTCGGCGGCGGCGCGAGGGGTCCTTCTGTCGCCGGAAGGCAGCTGCGGGGGCACCGGCCGGCCGGGATTCTGGCGGGGTGCGCCAGCCACAGGGCCGTCGACGTGTCGGTGGCGACGACAAAGGCCGTGCCAAATGCGTCCGCCGCCGTGGTGGCGATGCAGCAGCGGCGCAGTGAAGGATTTCACAAGGCACGGAATGGCGCCTGATGAATTCTTTATTTTGTAGCCTTCTTGTGCTTGTGTATACGTATATTCATTCATGCCATTGTAACTAGTACAATATGAGATTTTTATGTAACACACAATAGCGCATTTGGATATGGTAAATTGCATTGCATGCGCCGTTGGGCGCCTAGCTGTTTGAATTTGTATAAGAGCATTACTGTTGATTGATGCATGGACTTAACTCGGGTCATCTAAAACGGGAGAAAAATGCATTTTTAGCAGATAAACAATGCGCTTCGCAAAACTAGCATCCGAAACATTGTTTTCGTAAAAATAGCACCCAAAACAATTGCTTCTTGTTTTCTTTACCATTTTACCTTTTCTTCTTCTTTCTCTTTATTTCTCCTAAAATCTAGACAAAAGTGCCCCTGTGCTAATTGAGACGCTAATTTCACGTAACATACAGGCCGCCGCCATTCGTATCGTCTATTCGTCTTCTCTCTTTTCGCACGCGAGCCCTAGCTGGCTCTCCATGGATGACGTGCTGCCGCCATTCGAGATGACCCCGCCGGCCAACGTGCCGCCGCTGTCCAACGTGCCGCGCGGCGTGCCTCCGCGGCCCGATGTGCTGCCTCTGCCTGATGCCGTAGCACACCCCATCGCTGAGGGGGACTTGATCGCTACGGTAAGAGCCCTGCTGCCCGTTGTCGCGTCTCCGGCCTTGCAGCACGACGCGCCGAGGCCGACCCCACTGCCTGCCGTACATAGGTATGCGATGAACGACTGTACTCCTATTCTCCCAATTCCTGTCTGAAGTGCAGTTTGATGAAGTTAATATGGTTTGTCAGGTCCGATTTAGAATTTGTGGAAACTTTGCCACCAGTTGATTGGGATAGCTTGCAGATCATAGAAACACATGATGAGAAAGGACGAATCGAACTTTTGAGTGAAGATCAGATGTACGTGTTTTTAGGCTTGAGAGACGAGGAGGTAGGAAAGGTAGCTGGATCACATGATCATGTAATGGTTGAGGATGGTAGTCATGACGATGATGTTGTGATTCCTGATAATGATGACATACCTACTGAGTTGGTTATTTCATATGATAAGGATCACCCACAAATAAATCTTGGTACGATGCACCCATCAATGGACGAGTTCAGGTTGGCAGTGTGACAATTTGCAATCAATGAGGAGTTTCAATTAGGGACAGCACACTCTGATAAGGAGAGATTTAGAGGTTTCTGCAAGTCTAGTGATGATTGCCCTTGGAAAATAAATGCCAGCAAACATAAAGGCCAAAGCACCGTGAAGGTAAATATAGCTAGCTATATTCCTAAAAATTAGTGTGATTTTCATAAATTTATTTGTTTCTTCTTACTTGTGTAATTTGTAGGTCACAGCTTTATCACCATACATGTGTTTATCCATGAGGATGAAAACTACTGCAACTTCTCAGAAATGGGTAGCTAGCAAGGCCGTGAGTGTCCTTAGGGATTCTCCCAATATGGGTGCTAAAGAATTGCAAGATAAGTTGCAAAAAGATCACCCTGTCACAATTTCATATGACAAGGTATGGAGGGGTAGAGAAATAGCTCTGGCCGAGGTTTATGGTAAATGGAAAGAGAGTTTTGAGCTACTCTTCAGATGGAAGGCCGAGGTACTGAAGAGGTCACCTGGAAGTGTAGTGGAGATTGAAGTAATTAAAGCGGATGGTAATGTATATTTCCATCATTTTTTCTGTGCTCTTAAACCATGCATTGATGATTTCTTGGAAGGATGTAGGCCTTACTTGAGCATAGATTCTACAGCACTTAATGGAAGATGGAATGGTCATTTAGCCTCGGCTATAGCAGTTGATGGTCACAATTGGATGTACCCACTTGCATATGGGTTCATAGTTTCTGAAACGGAAGACAACTGGACTTGGTTTATGAATCAACTTAAGAAGGCAATAGGTGATCCTCCACTCCTTGCTGTGTGCACGGATGCATGTAAGGGCTTAGAGAATGCAGTAAAGAATGTGTTTCCTAATGTAGAGCAAAGAGAATGCTTTCTTCATCTTATGAAAAATTTTCAGAAAAGGTTCAGAGGGTTTGGCAAGATGTATCCCGCGGCAAGGGCTTATAGGGAAGAAATATTCTATGATCACATGGCAGCAATTCTTACTGAATCTGAAGAAGTGTTGAAATGGTTAAAAGACTACCATAAGCTGTTGTGGTATAGGTGTGTCTTTAATCTAGAAATTAAGTGTGACTACATCACTAATAATATAGCAGAGGTTTTTAATAATTGGATAAGAGACATCAAGGACTTACGTGTTGCTGAACTTGCGGATAAGGTGAATATAGCTACCTATATTTTTCATACATGTGTTTTTTTAAATGTATATGTTCGATATTAATTATGTAATTTGCAGGTCAGAGAGATGATCATGAAATTGTGGAACAAAAGAAGAAATATTGGAGATAGGCTACCAGCTGGCAGGATACTTCCAAGTATTATGGTTCAGCTAAAGGCAAATACTAGAGGGTTGGGACACTTGAAAATACATGCATATGCTAATTGGAGTGCAGAGGTCTGGGACAATAGCAAGAAAGTTGAAAGGCATATTGTGAAGTTAAATCAACGGACTTGTACTTGTCTTGAATGGCAACACACTAGTAAGCCATGTCAACATGCATTGGCCTTTATAACCACACAGCAGGGAGTTGACCTTGAACAATATGTGCAAGAGTATTACTCGGTGGATAGATTCAAGGCTGCTTATGGTAGAGAGATTGAGCCAATGACAGACAAAACACAATGGCCTCAAGTGGAGTTGCCATTTGTTGTTGGTGCTCCTCTTGCTAAAGAAAATATGGGAAGACGAAGAAAACTCAGGTTGAAAGGATGTCTTAAAGGTGGCAATAAGAAGAAATGTGCTAAAGATGTAGAAGGTGACAATGCTACTGCTCCAAATAATGATACTGCACCAACTAATGCTAAAGGGAAGAAAATGATTAGAGGCCCAATGACTTGCAAGAAATGCGGTGAAAAGGGTCACAGGCAAAGCTAGTTCCAAGTGTCCACTCAATGGGGCAAAGAAAAAGAGGCAAGTCCTATTTTTTTGTTGCAACCCTTGAATCACCATGTCATTACAAATATTATTTTTTGAACTTGTAGAAAGAGGCAGCAGCCTAAAAAGAATGTTACAAAAGAGAATCCACATAGGCTTAGCACCCCACAAGGCCAACAAGAGAACAAATACTACGGGATAGTTCAGGAAGGATAACGAGAAGGTACGAAATAGTAACACATTTAACCTATGTCATTTTACTCTAAACAAATAAAAAGATTTGTCTAATTGTCATTACACACATTTGTGCAGTCATCTTGCTTTTTTAGTGGGAGAGGACAGTTCTTCACATACCTCCACCACTACTCCGATGAGGATACCTACTGCACCTGCACCAAAGAAGATGACTCCAAAGAGAAGGCTACATATTGGATGAATGATATTTTGCAAGATGTGGTCACTTTTATTTGATATGAGATGAACTCATTTAGGTTTAATTTATGGGTCTGTGAGATGAACTCCTTTGAGGCTTTTACATGTATGTTATTAAAACAGTTTGTAATTACACACAAGCCATTAAAAAATTAACTGCACACGAGTGCCATCGTTCTGAACTTCTTTGCTCTCCAAGCCATTCCGTCGGTGTTCTGTTCGTTTTTCACCATTTGGGAGTCATGACAAGTGGGTCAGGTCAGTCAAAATGTCCATAATACCCCTCTCATCCCTATTATAAGTGCAATCAAGCCCTATTGTGGATTTTGGCATTGATGACCACCAAATTAGAGGACTAATGAGATTTATCGAGATAATGTTGTGGAATAAAAAATGAGGATGATGTACAGGTTGCAGGTGTCCTAATTACAAAAGGTGGCTAGACCTAGCTCAAAGGAGGTTTAAATTCTTTTATGTTTTGAAATTGAGTTTAGGGAAAGCCGTACTATTAAAAGGGGTTTTAGGACAGTTGGTCAACTGTTGAACCAGATGCTCAAATTCTCAGATTTACATCCTCTCACCTAGTCAAAACAGCCAACCAAATTTCAGCTCAACTTATCTGTTTTGGCTAGGGCGGCAAAGGCCGCTTCTTAACCGACCATTGGACCCAAGGGATATTTATACCCTTGTGCCCAGCCCACAACGGTCATCTACTTCACTCGGACATTCTCGTCAAATGTAGCAGTAACCAAAGCTCACCTTCTCTCCTCCATTGTTGCTCCTCCATCCCTCAAGCAAATCCTTGATTCCAACCATCAAAACTTGAGAGAAAAGGCAGCAAAACTCAATTGGAGAGCAGATCCACTGATTCCCAAAGTGTAAGAGCATTTGGTTCATGTTTGGCCGACGGTTCTAGGGTTTGTTACTCTTGGAGCTTGCTCCTAGCTGGCTAGGCGTTGCCCTTGGACTTGCCAACTCGTGTGGCAACCTTGGGAGGTTTGTAACCTCATTCTCAGAGCTAAGAAATCACCTCTCACTTCAAGAGTTCATCCTCTTGATTTAAGAACGAGGGTAAGGCAAGCCTTTGTGGCAAGCTCAAGCCTTTTGTGGCTTCCTCAACAACGTGGATTTAGGCAAACATTTGTGGTGAGCTGAACCACGGGATAAATCTTGTATCTCATGTGCTTCATCTTGTTTACTTGCTGGTTTAGCTCTTTCGTAGCTGGTGTTAGGGTTTGGTTGCTCAATCCACTCTTGTGTGGAGTTTCTGTGGTATTCAGTCTTCGAACTGGATCTTATCTTTCTATTGCAGGATTAAGCAGCTAATGGGGTCAGGTTCATCTCTGTAAAATCTTAGCTGTGTTAGATTTATTTTCGAAGAGCGGCAGTGCCACCCTCTGTTCTGACAGAGTTTTGAGTTGAATTTTTACAGGACTATTCACCCCCTCTAGGCCTCCTTTATCTTCCTGTAGATCCTACACCTATCCTCTCTCTCTCAAACTCGATCTCTCTTCTCGTGCG